ACCATAATGTATGGGGTTTTTTTTCATCCTGAAGTGAAAACTGACGATAATGCCAACAAAAACATCAGGTCAGACACACCAAATTCAACACACCTGATTCAAATGATCAGCTCATCAGCAAGCTGTGTGGAGGCCTGACATGATCATGAACAATTGAATCAGGTGTGTTGGAGTCGGGGTGGGGGGGATCGAAAACAGGCAGGATATGGCTCTCGAGGAACAGGAATTCCCTACCCCTGATAGTGGTAACACTAAACTTTACATCAGGGATGCCCAACCATTCGATCGCAATCGACCGGTAGCCTGCAGACTGGTCCCAAGTCGATCGCGAGGGGTGTAGAGGGAAAAGCATTAAAGTTGTGATCCAAGGTTTCACTGTATTACAAAGCCAAGCGAGTCCTTGGTTGAGTTGGTGCCTCATGTTAATGTGTTAAAAAGTCAAATAAGAAAGAAAATAAATCATCTCTGTAAACGAAAACAGTAAAAGGAGTCAAATAAAATCATTTGGTGAGAGAAAAGAATGACTCTGTTTTAAAGCATTGCCTCAACAAGTTGGTACCGACAATTTTAGCCCCCTTGGTTCAAGGAGGGGGCCCCCCACCAACATGGGGTCATGTTACGACAAGACATCTGTGAAGTTCTGTCTCTCTCTCTCTCTCTCTCTCTCTCTCTCTCTCTCTCTCTCTCTCTCTCTCTCTCTCTCTCATGGTTGCCTGTCTTGTTAGCACAGTTACTTTTTGCTTTATAATTATTCGGGGCACTGTACAGCGTTATCATACCTTTCTACAAACTCAAAATATTAGGAATAGCGCTCAGTATAAAGGAGTACCGTTTTTCACCACAGCAAACGACATCCAATCAACATGATTCAATGAATACCTTTTGGGTTAGCATCAATTAAAACTGAACATTATTGTCGATGTTGAGGCAGCAGATTTGATACAGCTGTTGTATTGGATATCATTACATGAAGTAGTGGTCAGTTTATATTTCCCAGATTTATGAAAACATCCTGCATCAGAGTTTAAAACCATCCATCTGCCAATCAAGACGTACCTAAAGCGCGATAATGCAGCAGCAATATGACCCAAAGCGCACAAGTGATTCTGCAAAACAAAATGGCGACTACGGAACAAAATATGCCGTGTGGAGCAGACAGTCAGAGTCCTGCCCTCAACCCGATTGAGATGCTGCGGCGTGCTAGCAGGACTTGCTGAAGTTCTACCTTACTGCAATACTTCTATGACAGTGTCAATCAAAACTGAGCGTCATCTTTGTAAAGGCAAGATTGTATTGATCTCAAAAGATTGGAAAGGAAACCTGTGTTTCTGAGTCTAATCGGAGTTTTTAAAAAAGGTTTTAAATTTAACGGAAGGTATTTTAAGCTGTTTATTTTAGGGGATATCGAGGAAAGCTAAACACACGAAAGGTTGGATGCGTTCACAGTACTCTAAACTTGCCAAGGTTTCTTCAGATTCTAATCTGTAGAACACAAAGTGATGGGACCTGTCTCATGCTGTCACAGTTGAAACCGTTGAGTGTTGTTGAGCAATTGCAGATCCTCGCCCGGTAAATTGCCTTCCTCCTTTTCTTGATTCCTCTGATATCTCTTGTATTATTAACACTACTGGCCTCCAGCACGGCACCAGGAAGTTATAGCCTGCAGGCGTCTTCAAACCAGCGAGAGAACAGCGATCTTGGGCATACCCCCCACCACCCCACACACACACAATCACACTTAGACTCCGAGCCAAAAACGCCAGTCTTCGACTCTTGTTGAGCTTCAAATCAATTTGTTGCTCCCCTCTCACTTTGCGCCAGCGTTTCATCTAATGATTCTACTTTAATATGGCTAATCTGCATATCCAGTTTCTCAGGGACTCTGCTGGGAAATGGAACATGTGCTTGCCAAGCAGTCATTCTTCTTTTTTTTTTTTTATATGTTGACTCATTTTGCAACACAGCCAAGCGTGTAGATCTTTCCAGGAGGAGTGTGAAGGCCTATCACCGTCATCATAATGATGGCGCAAATATCTCCAACCATTTGCCACATGCCTGAATACAGACTGGCAGCCCAACTTCATCGGAACTCCCCCCCCCCCCCCCCCCCGCCCCTTCCACTCCCTCCAATCCATTTGTCATGTTTTCAAGTGTTTTACAATTTCGATGATATACTGTCAGCTGTAGAGAAGTGGAGATAGGGAGCGTGTGAGTGAATGGCGCAGAGAGTGACACATGTTACGCAGGGTTGAGTGAAGGAGAACACATGCTGTCCTTCGAGAGATCTTACAAAGAAGTGCATGTGAAGCAAAAGCTGGCAAGGTCCATGCACACAATGAGAGGAGATATTTTCAGGGTGAGAGTAGTTAGAGGACAAGTGGAGATATATCAACTATCTTTGACCCTCCGTTGCCCTCTAACAAACACTCCCCACCCCGATCTGCCCACCCTGTAAGCACCCACGCTGTAAGTCCGATAAGTCCTATTTATAAGCTGTGGATGGATGAGCAAATCAGGTGGAGAGAGTCCCAATTGGAAGGGTGAACGCATGTGTTAATGTGTGTTTACGTCTATCTTTGTGGAGACCCTTTCGATTTGTCAGCCCCACAAAAAAAAAAAACGTCATGCCATTGTGAAGGTGTCCCAACAACGCAACAGATGGCGCTATAATCGCCAATGCTAATTTTATCCACTCAATTTAAACTGATCAAGCTGATGTCGATTTCCCGCGTTTCCCTGAACAATAGACAAAAGATACATATTAGTTGAACGCATTTTAATCAGGTGCAACCAAAAATCATGTTTTCATTATGCAGTGAAAACAACCAAGCCACTCAATGGCTGCTCTCTCATGGCAGAGGGGCTGTGGTGATGTTTGTACTCGTGCATGCGCCCCCAAGAACGTGCCCCAAGAATGACTAAGCTTCTGTGTAAATGTTTTTTCTACCACATGCTCACCTTGCGAACGACACACTTCAACTTCCTATGCCATACAATATATTGGAGGGATTGTGATGGATTAACATAAAGGATGCGACTCCTAAAACTGGAATAGAAAAAATGAATTGTATGACTTTGTGTTTGTGTACAACTTTCTGGCTACAGATTTTGGATAACACACACATTATTAGGTTAATTGTCAATAGGTTTGAATGTGAGTGTTGAAGGGACACTTGAGTGGGCTGAACCTTGGCACTTATATAATAGGTCGATATGTAAAAAATGATCTCAGCAATTAAATTCACCACCTTGAAAAAGTTGAGTGATTTAAAGTAGCTAATATATTGAAATAAGATAACGACTTACGAACAATTACAGTTTCCGAAAAGAATCTCCGCTGCTCATTTCCTCATTTTCCTACAAATCAGCCATTGAGAGGCTTATCCTTGTGATATTTTCGGAGGTCGAAGTGGGCATAAGTAGAGATGTTCACAAACATTTTGATGCGGAATAATGGTCATATTTGTAAATTATTAGTGATGTACAGTATGGACAATAATTTGGTTGACCAAATTCACAAACACGTTAAATTAAACTTGCCCCGCCACAAAAATGGAGATGCGCCTGTTTTCACGCCGAGCGCAGTCTTCTTTTTGTGGCCAAATTGTCAGGTGCATCGGGGGTGCGGCAACTCTGTGCGCTGTTACGCCCAATGATGTGAATCGTGGTCCCAAACACGGTAGACTAGACTTGCCCCGGCATGAAAATGAAGATGCGCCCATTTTTATGATGAACGCACGAGCATCTGCCAAAAGTAGGGCCTGAGGTGTAAAATGACAAAAAGCTAAACGCGCATTGAAACACGTTCTGGTCCCCTGTTGCTCGCAGGAAGAAAACAGTAGTAAAGGTGTTACACTAAAGCTAAGCCAACACTAGACAGTTGATAGGTTCATCTATCATGAGACAAGATTCTCATTCATTCCAAGTACACTCTTTCATGCTTTTCTCTCTTTATTATTGTAAGTGAACAAGGGAGCCCTTGGTAATTTATCCAGTGTCTCGTTTCTGAATAAAAAAAGACTGCAAACTAAGCAAAAAGAGCATGAAGGTCATTGTGGTTTGAAACGTTCAAAACCTCAGGCCTCACGAAGAGGCCTGAATGCGCAACCAAGGCCAACGGGTCATGATGAGGCCTGTTTCAGTCCTGGCTCCCTTTTGACACTGCAAAAACACAGATCCATCAGAGAGCCCATTTACAAATGCCTGCATTCCTACACATTGTTCCTCTTTCAGAAATTTCCTGGCTTACACTTGCAGAATATTTTTGCTGTCGTGACTTTGAAATGCTACTCCAATACTTTTAGAATTTTTTTTTATTTTTTATGCAATGTTAAAAAAATGTTCAGACTGGTGGGCTTGTAGGGGGCCTGATTTCCTAAGCTCCCAAATAGGGTGCGCTAAGTTCACAAATATATTTCTATCTATCTATCGATAAATAGATATCCATAAATAGCCATTTCTTGCTTGTTAAAAAAATACTCGGCACGGCATTTGTTTTTAATGTCACCTGCGTGACTCGTCTCCTTCCCAACTGTAAATCCGTCCTTGTCCTGGAAATGTTCACACACAATCGTAACACAATCATGATAAATTAATTGAGAGTAAAACTATAATTATAGTATTATGCACAGACGTAAAGTTAAACAAGCCATCTTCTCTTTGCTCATCTTTGTTGATCTGCTTTGGGGTGCAAAATTTCTGTACACACAATTGTAACACAATCATGACAAATTAATTGAGAGTAAAACTATAATTATAGTATTAAATTGGTGAAAACTTTATGAATCCTTTTTAGTGAGACAATTGGGGGCTTCTGGTAACCTCAGGCAGTTCCCTGTGTTTGCCTGATTTGAGGTCATGCTTGAAGTCTGAAGTTGTACAGGACTTTCAAATTTCCCCAAACTCCTAATCAAAGTTTAAGACCTCAGCGGTTTCTAAATTGTGCCATTCGAATATTATTGCTGTTTTTCTGGTTGTGTTTTGAATGAAACTTAGGACTCACACTCAACTTTATGTTAAAAGACTTCTTTGTCTTGGTCCTAAAGGCTGTACCCAGAAGTCTGTGTGTTTTCCTAAAAAAATTACAAAAATCATAAAAAGCCCAGGTTCATAAATGAGTGTCCCTCAAAGCCTCTTTCTTTTTCTCTCTCTTACTCTGCTTTCACCTCTCGTCCCGCCAGCCTCACAGTCGCCAACCTTTTCCTGCCCGGGCCAGCAGCAATGGGGGCTTTCTCTTGTTTCCTGGTGCTGGTAGTGCTGGATAAACACACAAGCTGCCTCTCATATAAAGGCTCAATTCTTCTCCATCATGTTTAAATATGGATACAAAGAGAAACTTGTATGATAATTTCTGGCATGTGGTAGCAGGGGTTGCCTTTTGAGGGGGGAGGAGTGTGTGTATAAGGGGTTGGGGGCACTGGACAGACAGACACGGGCCTTGTTCTGATTCTTTTCTGAGATTTCAAGGTTTTCTTTTTGAAAACAGCGGGCCAATTTCATTTGACAAAGTGACTGCCCCGAAAATGTGAGATGTGACAAATGATTGGCTGCCTTAAGTTGCACGCTGGCATTTGAAGCCATGGCAGCATAAAGCACCGCTGTCATGGAACTCGGTGGCACGTGGAAACACACAGAGCAGCCGGGGGATTTGAACCAAAATACTTCCTTGAAGGAGATGGCTTCTCTGCAACGGAGGGCATGCCGTTCGACTTTGATTTAAAGAGGCAGTCATGGAAAAGGAGACGGAATCTGGCTCCTGGCTTGGAACATGCCAGAGGTGTCACAGATAGCCTGGATGATACGGATGGCCCGCAGATATCCGGGAGATCACTTTACTGTCCTGTTGCCATCAGGCAATACAAGTGCACACAGGACATGATGTCACGTTCCTTGGAGGCTTCAAAGGCCTCAACAGGCTCCAGTAACAAAGAGAGTTGCCGCTGTGTTTTAAAAATACAATGTAGTTCCAGATATATTCAAATTATGATGTTCTAGGGAGGAGCTGGATTAACAACAATGTATTAATTAGAACTAGGTTCTTTTAATTGACAGTTGACCTTGAGGAGCAGCAAGCGTAGTAGAGTAGTGATTAGCATCACTGTCAAGAAGTTCAGTCCAGTGAGTGTAAAGCGACCTAGGCAAGTTGCAACATTACCAATGGATAGATTTAATACATCCATCCATCCACTGCATCGTAATTTCACATTGGTCAAACGGACTGTACGTCAATAAAAGTTATGGAGACGATCCACAGTTATCAGCGCGAGGAGACCCTGCTTTGATTGCTGCTTCATTCACGTTTACGTTTGGATCAGACAGGCAGTGCGACACTAAAGTAGGTGATGTTAGTTTCTGTTCCCAGGTGAGGTGAAAAAGATGCACGGATGTCAACTTTACGTGCTCGTGCAAACTTTCTGCGCATTGTAGTCAAACCAAAGGCTTCACTCCTGGTTCTATCAGGCCAACAATAAATTTCAATTCACAAGGGGCAATATAAAACCTAATACATCAGGCTGCTCCTTTTTTGCCTAAGGGAGAGCTGTGATGACTGGCGGCTCACAGCAAAAGCAATAAAGCGGCTCATTCTTCGGTCTGACAGCGCATGGAGCGCACATTCACTGAGCGCCAGCAGACACAGCCTGCTTCACTTTTCTCGGGTGAAGACGTATAAAAATGATGTTTCTTTTGTACTTTACACAGCTTACCTTACCTTCAAGGATGTGGAAAAACACCACATTACATTGAAAGCCGGACTCTGTTTTCTACTCTGACTCGCTGCGGTGGAAATGCATTCAGTGTAGTAGGAGTGCAGCGTTCATCCTTTTTCCTGCAATCCACAAAAGAGTTTTGTAGGAGAGCAGAAGTCCAACCCGACAAAGACATTGATTGCTGATTTGAAGCACCTGCGCACCCAGGTGAGCAGAGTGGCTAAAAAGGTGGGCGTGACTGACAGAGCGCCACAGTGGAGAAGTGAATAGAAAAACATGAAGCACATACAGGTAAAGGCTTCTTTGTACTGCTGTGTGACATCACGCAATTGACATATTGTGTTTAGTAGTACAGTACCTCTGTGTTCTCTCGAAAAAACGTAGCGGCGTCCGTGCGGGCAGCGACCATGCGAGTATAAAGAAGCCTTAAAACAATGGAGCTGAATTGTCACCACGTTAGGATCATTGAAGTCTGCCCAACGTCAGCTGGGAAATGCTTCTGCTCAGCCGTAACCTGAAAGACGAGTGATGAGATGGATGAATAGAAGAACTTTTGAACTTTAAGAAAAGTTTGTGTCAAATGTAACAATCTTGAACGGCAGGGAATCTTCCTGAATGATTTTGTATTGTTGACTGGCCTCAAGAGTGGACACAGAATTACCGTCAGCAGAGAGCAGGCCTTCACTAAGGTCTGAAAACTTGTGTGATGTATCTGGGCATGTATGAATCTGGATTTTGACAATAGATGAAGAGAAAAATTGAATGGTTTCTTTTTACTTGCCAGATTTCGAATGTGAATGGGATTGACCGGTGACCAGTCCTGGGGTGTAGTCTGCCATTTGCCTGAAGTCAGCTTGGAAAGGCAACCGCTGCCCGTGACCCTGAACAGGATAAGTGGGTTGAAAAAAAAAAGACGTCTGGTAATGATTAGAATATGATGGTAATGAAGATTGCCAAACTAAGTTTTGTATTATAAGATGACAGAATGGAATAATTGAAGAACAGGAAATGAAGAATTACTTTGCTACCATGTTGTCATTCAAATGCATCTGTACGTTGCATTTGGCGGAGGATCAGATAAGAAAACTGGTGAATGGCGTCGACGGACGGGCGCTGCCATTTTTGATTGGCAGTGAGTGAATGAGACTTACTCTCTGTGGTGACCTTGCATCACTCTTTTCGTGCTTGTGAAACAAATACACTCTTGTGAACACCCGCAGAGCCTTGCAAAACAAACTAACAAACTGAACATGCGCTGACATGGTGTCGCTACACTAAATATCGAGCTGGGGGTAAAGTTCAACAACACAGTCATGCCTTTTGCTCTTCGGTGTGCGTGCGTGCGTGCGTGTGTGTGTGCGTGTGTGCATGCGTCTTCAGCTTGCATCTAAGGTGAGATTAGAAGTTTGTAGGGTTTGTTGAAGTGAGATAGAGAGCCCCTATGCCAAACTGCACCAGAAAGCTGACAAGAGACATAATAAAGATGTAAAACTCTGATGCGGAAGCTTCCGGCCTGTAATTGTGACCGCTAACAATCCCCTCAGTACTACAGGCATGATGGAACAACCTTGAAGGAATTCGACATGTGGTCGGTTTATATATATATTTTTTGTGCTGTGATGCTGTCAACATTGTTTGAAAAAGTTCAAGTCTACAATTGCCCACCAACACGTTTTTCTAAAACAAACAAAAAAAAAAAAAGACACTAACCCAGTACTGCCTGCTCCAAGTTTTGCGGCACAAAGTGTGTGTCATGTCACACCAATGAAGACTTGAAGTAATTATATTTTTCAATGCATTATTTGTTAGTAATACTAATTCTTTTTGGCCAGTTTTGTCATCTTACATCTGTGGCCTTCACACATCACTGCGGCAGCGTTTGGTTGCATGCTTTACTTTCCAATAAAGGTTAGTGATGACAGGCCATTGATGTGAGACTTTTTGCACGATTACAAAACTGAACTACTGGTCGTCATCGTGTCCTTCGTTCCATGAAATACACGCTAATGCTCAGTAGTGCACATGGCACTTTGATGTATTTGCCTGGTAGGCTTTTAAATGTGATTATTTTTAATGGGCTTACGTGCAAGCCGAAACAAGTAGACTTCAATGGAACATTTTAATATAACATCATGGCCTTTATAAACTGAGTTTAGCCTATCAGGGCACATAGAACATAGTGAAAAAAAATGTTTCACTTGACTTCAGCTTCGGTGCATTTTATTCTCCTTGCGTTGCGTTTGCTTTTACACTGTTAAAAAGCATTACGATTTTATTTTTCAAAATCTACTTAAGTACTTTTAAATTCCTCTATCGATATTTCCACCTGAGTAATGACCGTCAATACCTTTGAAGCCTCCGGAATGCAATCATGTTTGTGGAGGCCATGCATGTTACTGGCCTACGTTTCAAGTTGTCTTGAGGAAAGCCATTGAAATGAGGTCTGTGATTTACGCAAATATATCCATTTAGCACCCGTTAATAGCAAACAGATGTATTTGTTGTTTCTGAGCTTCTTTCATTTCTTCTGTCCTACAAGCCAGTGTGTATATTCAGGTGAGGATCCAGTTGAAGCCTTAGGCAGATAGGACCCCTGGTGTCCCTCACTTTTTGGAAAGTTGGAAGAATGTAATGTTCCAGAGCCTCAAAGTCGTAAGCCACGCTTCATTAATAGGAACAGGAACACTTGACACTTGAGTTTCACGTAGTCAGTCATACTGAGGTCAGATCCCAAACCGCTACGGCGCTGTTCGATACTTTCTGCAGCCAGGTGTCTCATCCCCAAATGTGCTGTGACATTAGTGGACAGTGGGTCACTTCGGCTGTCTGTACAGCCAGCTGAAAAATACATTTTCGTCAGCTCCAATGATGTCCGTAGGGCACGTTTCACGCTGGATTGGACGTTGTCAGTCCATACGTTGTTACTATGAAGGGGAGCGCAGCAGGAGCTGACAGGTAAACCGTTTGTGCTCCAGCTCCTCTCCGGCGCCAATTCAAACCAAGTCACTGCGCTGCAGCCTCGCAGGTGCCAAAGGAAACAAGAAGACGGTTAGTGGAGGGAGAATTTCAATTGATGAAACCTGGATCTCTAAATCTGATACATTTTTTTTTCATCAGCATATTTTCAAATTCTTTGTAAAAGTAACTGTGTCTGTGTTTCATGTCAGAACTTACTTGACCCCACTAAATATGAGCTTCTGTAGGAACAAGTACACGTAATTATTACACTTCCGCTGCAGTACCTGGAGAATAGCCAAACATTTGAACTCGGACCTTCAGAACTGTGAGGCAGTCATGCTAACCAATAGTTCACCAAGCTGCTTTTCACAACTCACTACAGTGATCCTAATCTTCACTTTGGAGTTTGTATCGCTGAGAACTGCTGATAAACGGTACAGGTCATTTGGTGCCGGGCTGCACAGAAAGAATAAATAGCTTACATTCCTTCCGTTTTATTCATTTCGGAATCTGAAAGATATTTTATTTTGAAAAATTACCGGATTCTCTGTTATATCAGTCTACAGTATGTCACTCTTGGCTCAGGTGAATGCGTGCTTCTCGGTCACGTGATAAGTTACCGCTAAAATGAAACCCAGGAGCTAGCAAAATGAAAAAAAACAAACGTCTTTGAAAGGTTTTATTTTCAAGAAAGAGAAGGCTACATTTAATAGACTCTACTCTGCATAATAAGCGGTGATGGTGAGTCGTTTTTTGTCATGCACTTTTTATTTGCGGCGTATCTTATTTTGAAGGCACGTTTAAACGTTGACCATAGCAACCAGAGAACGTTGTGGCCAGATCAGACGTTCCTCGTGTCATGATTCGTGTTTATTTTTATGTTTCAAAAATACCACACTTTTCATGCAGGTCATATTATATTATACTGTTGTATCTAGTCCCTGAAAATTGTTTGACATGAAACCGGTCCGTGGGGCATAAAAGGTTGGGGACCTCGGATCTAAAGCAATATGATTTTGTCGTGAGCCACGCACGCGCCTTTGGTGTAACAAATTCTCACAAAAATCAGCTTGCTTGGGTTTCGTAATAATGCTCGCATAGAATATCTCCATTCAGTTCATTGTACGCGACCACCTCCCAGAAAACGAACTAAAGTTCTTTGTAAGATCTCAGGAAACATTTAATGGACTTTTTCTTGGCAAGTGTGGCTTTCAGTGGTGAAAATTGGAGCTTTAATTTGGTGGTTCTTCTCTAAACAATACCTGTGCCTTTTTGGGCACTGGCAAAGGTATAAATAGTTCCAATTGATTTCAGAAATTAGCGGTAGTGTAGACTTGGAGTGGAAAAATCAGAGTCGTGCTCAATCCCATATTATCACAATGCAGTCATCTCACCCAATGAGCAAATAAAATCTGTTTTCCATGCCACCGTTTTCTATATCATCCTGTCGAGGGTCGCACGCAGCTGGAACCTATTCCACCAAAAGGTGGTCTACACCCTGGACTGGTCACTTGCCAATCACAGGGCACAGACAACCATTCACACTCTGCTGCCCGCATGGTAATCAAGGGAGCAAGCAAAATAATTTAAGGTATTAAATAGGTAAAAGGCCATCTTGTCCGATCAGTATGAATGTCTATAATGCCCACAATCAATTTGATGATAGCATTGTTGTCACAAGGATGAAATTTTTATTTGACCGAAGATTTTTGACCCTTTAAGCCTTAAAGGTCGATACCAAAATTTCAAATTTGCTGATGTAATAAACAATGGAGATATTGTGAACCATTATTCTTGACTTCTACATATGGTTTCAGAGTCATCAGCCCTCCAAGGGAAACAGCAACTACAACGTGGCCCGTGACAAAAATGAGTTTGACACTCCTGCTTTCAGGTCTCCATTTTTTCTTGCTCATACTTGGCAAAATCCAAGTAAGTCAAACAAGCCTGACTTGATTCATGAGGCAACAGAATAAAGCTGAATTGAGTCATAGTTGCTCATGACGTCACTGGCTCCCCAAGAAATGGAACGCTGCCCGCTTCTCCGCTCCGGCACTTCTGGCATGTGCTGTGAGGGCAACATAAAAAAAAAAAAAAAAAAGTCTGTTTGTGCCAAACAAGGTGACTGCTCTAAATCTTGATGCAGAGTAAATCTTATGAGCTAAACCTTCTTTGATGAGACCCCTGCAGCACATTGTTGTCAAGTGCCGCCACAAAACTCATTCATAAAGGGATTATCTGGATGATCTGTGATAATATGCTCAACTGTTTTCCACATGTTGCTGTCATGGCCGCAAGGGTACCAGAGGGAGCAGCAAAGGCAAGAAAGCAAGAGCAAGCGAGTGAGCCAAGATGGACACAGATAGAGACACAAAGGAAGCGAGAAGTACAAAAAGCAGTGGCAGAAGTGACACACTGAAAGATGGTGGAGAGCTGGGATGAGGCAAGGAGGGAAACAAAGAACATATTGTCAGTACCGGGTGCTAATTGTCTCCTCTTAGACTGCCAGAGACAACAGGTGAGAGCAGTTTGGTTCCCTGCAGGCCCATGAAGTACTGTGTGTGTGTGTCTGTGTGTGTGTGTGTATTGTGCGCCCATGTGCCAGCATGGCCAGGGAACCATATGAGGAGTCTGCCAATGCCAACTCAAACGGCAAATGAGGAGTGAGGCACGCTCCATCACAGAGTTCATGTCAAAGATGCCAAAGTCCGGTCTTGAGTGTGTGTGCGTGTGTGTGTGTGTGTAGGAGATAATATTTACAGATCTTCAGAGAAATGTTCCATCTTCTCACACCAAGCAGCGGTAATGGTGAATGCACTGAAAGCAAGAATGCACGGGTCAATGCACCGAATGGAAATACACTTTGATGTTAACAAGAGTGTGTGTGCTTATTATGTGTTAACAATCTGA